AACATCCAATGCACCCACGATAGGTCGGAAGAGGTGCTTCAGCTTCGTTGAGGATGGCGATGATGACTCTGCTTCTACGAGTGTCAAGAAACTAAAGGGGGAATCCACGCAGGCTGAAGGCAGTTCCCCTTCAATACCAACAGACTCGGATAAGAAGGAAGGAGAGGATGTTAAGTCAGTGACGCAGGGGTGAAGGATGTGGAATTGGATGAGAAGAAGTCGGACTCACCATCCGGTCCCGAGGAAGTTCCCCTGCCAGATTCTCCCGGTAGAACCCCACAATTGGACACAACATCGATAGAAGAAGTGGCTACGGCTCCAGAGGACGATGCTGATAAGAAAGACGCCCAAGATGATTCGGACGTCGATTCGGTGGCCTCTTCGTCTGAAGTAATTTTGGACGAGGGACAACCTGAAGATGATTCAAAGGATGATACCAAGATACTTTCTACTTCAGCAGCTGAGGATGCACCTGCCACAGAACTTGACACTCCTACTGTCGATGATACTCCAGCAGTCACAGGGACCGACGTATGAACGTGGACCATACACTCACTTTTGCAATCTTCATTGCTATATTTAATCAATGAGCACGAGTATGTCCTCGGTGCGTAGATCTAGTTGATAAATGTATGGATACAGGATGGATTGCACGCTGGCTGGTGCAGAACAGGGTTCTACTAACGACTTACGATACCAATACTTGACACTGTTTATACGTACTGCTACTAATTCCTCACTCCCCTGTTGTTTGCCGATTACATCAATGTATCTGATTACTTTGTGTTCGATATCATGAAGATATCCGATGATGTTCAAAGCAGTGTGTACAACCACCTGTTAAACTGCGCGACGGTCTGTGATGCAGTCAAACAGGTGGCTGTACACGTTCAGTATGCCATCTTCCCTATGCAGGCCGAATCATATATCGATGCGGTCGTTCATATTTAGTTTTCTCCTATCGGACTCGTGCACACCACTAGCCATGTGCTGGATATTTCTTTAATGTAAATGGTCATTCGTGACAAGCAGCGGCCATGAGGAGACCTGCATGCGGCATTGCAACTGGCTACTCTTTCGTTCACATCCCTCATGTAGTACTATCCGCTTAACAGGCAACTGGAAAACACATGCAATCTAGCTATCTATGTCCCAGGGAGGTGAGGTTTATTGCCATTCTGCTACTTTCAATCTGACTCGTCCGATGCAGCGGCTGGAATGTAGAGAGCTTGACTGGATATAAAAACCGCAAACTCACTGCAAACCGTGGTCCGCAACGGTTTATGACACCATCAACTAATGACTAGCCGATATGGTAGGTACTCGCCTCATGTTATGTGTGAGGCATACACGCCTTTTCTTGCGCTCGCCAGCCTCCTCACATGATAATCTGAACAGCCAGCCGCCTACTCTCTATGGTCAATCGATTCCATTCTACGAGCATCGGTAGTGATATCGTGCTTCTTACGCCCCCCTTTTTCGTGGCATCCTCACCTTTCACAACAAGCTTCTCCTGCATGCCCGCCCGTCCACGGTACTTATACCTGACACTGGTTTCGTGTGTCCGAGGTTTCCTTGTACTTACGCATTATACGTATTTACACTCATCGATCGTCCAGCGCCCTTACCACCCTTCCACGCCATTGATCGCACGCGGGCAGTCCACAGGAAAGCCTTTTGTCACCACTCACCCAACCCAGTCCTCTATTTTTCATTTGCTTCACCTCTATGTTTCACTTCATGGGCTCGGAATCCAATAGCAAGGGCAAACAACGTCAGCAAGATGCTGACTCGCAACTCCAGGTGCATATCGAAACCGAAGTCCACTCGAATCATCCTCCTGTGGAGAGCCAGGGCTCCCAAGCCCTTGACAGTACATCCTCCCTTCCGACTACGCCTTCAAATCCTAAGCGCCCGCTGCCTCCTGGGCTCCGCGTGCCGACACACCCTTACCCATACTGGCAAAATCATACGCCGGCATCATCCTCCCAGAGTAGCCTCGAATCGCCTAAAACCCCTTCGCAAGTTTCCTGGCTCGGAGGGTCTGGAGGAACTTCGGTTGCTCGTGCCGCATCATCGGCACCAAATCTTCTGCCTCATCATTTCCCACCACCACCTCCCACTTCACCACCAGCAAATGTCCCACGCACGCGGACCTTACAACCCTCCAAGAGCTCGCATTCATTGCGACTACCGGTACAGGAGAGTTTTGGGCACCCACTCTCTCCAATTGTTGAGCAAGACTATATGTCACCTGAGAAGCGTAACGTATCATTACCAAGCAGCCCTGATGGCTCCGGTTCTCGAGCGAGTGGTACTACGGGTACTATGATGACACCAACAAGCGTGGTAGCTATGTATTCTGCACGCCCAACGCCCACGCCCACCACCCCAGTCGCTCCGCAATTTGCAAGACGACGAGAGGATTCACTTACTGGTGACTCGTCACGTTCGTGCGCGATTTCTAGAGTTTGGTTTCGTAACTAATTGATTTAAACAGGTTCATCGCCAGTATATTCAAATTTTCTTTCCCGCCCGCTGAACAGGACCATAAGTATGTCGTCGACGAGGACACACCAGTCTGGCAACTCGTCATCTGCAACACCGCCTGTGATTCCTCCTCTTGATCTACGCCCAGCATTTCCAGGACCCCTCCCCTCAGACACACTTTTGTCCCGGGATATCGTTGATGAAGGGCTGGGTACCCCCGATGATGCTTCGACAAAACGCGAGAGCTTCGTCACAGCTCGGTCAGCTGCTGCAGTGCGGGAGAGCAGATACTCTGCTATGGTTTTAGAACCGGATCATGAACCTCTAGGTGATCAAGAGCTCCCATCAAGCCGAACTGCGGAGTCCTCTAAGAGTTCCCCCGAGTATCAACAGGGAATCCCTCAGCTGCCTCCAGCAACGCACACACCCTCTCCAGCAACACACACACCCTTACTTCCCCGTCCTTCATCGCGAACCTCAACATATCCACCCTCATACTCACTACCACAGCCCAATGTAGATCACCGGACTAATCACGGTAGGATCGATACTCCAAGCCAGCGTGATTCTGTCCGATCGATGTCATCTTCGTTCATCGACCGTCGCTTTGCAGAGTCAGAGCTATATTTTGGCTCGCACACGGAATGCTCTAGCGCGCGCCAGGCCAACGAGAAATGGGGCAAGCACACTGAGAAATCCGACACCGCTCGGACGCTGTTCTGGCTTGGGTTTATCGCGCCATGGTGTTGGCTGATCGGTGGATGGCTGGTGAAAGCCAAGAGTAATAATAACTATGGCCGGAGCGGGAGCATGATGCCCTTGTGGACGGGTAAGAACGCACAGACCGTTGATTCATTTAGGATGCAGCCGTTGCACCATGGCTATCCCTTCGTGGCACCTTCGGTGCAGAGCTTAATGCCGCCATCGTATTCGCGAGGGATTCATTCAACACATCCTCGTGGCCCTTTTTTGATGGCGAGGAGTCCGTGGATTAGGAGGTGTAGGGTGGCTGCTGCTGTGAGTGGGATTGTTATCATGCTGCTCTTCATTGCTGCCCTGGTGGTAGTTGGGAGGAGCAGTTGAGTCGAATTTTGGACAACTAATCATGAAGGATCCGTATCTGGGTATTTTATTCTCAAATTAAAATGAGCAAAGCGATCTTTACCGTATAGTAAGTACTACACGATCATTTCTCCATTGCAATTTCCATCACTTTCCGAGGATCAGAATCGTAGATCTGGTTCGGACCTGTAACACTTCATGAATACCTAGCACTTCACGAATATTTACAACATCACGAATACTCACGCTTTACGAACTGAGGGTAGAAATCCGAGTACTTAGAAACGTGTGGCAGCATGTTGTGGAAAATGCTGAGCATGACGATAATGCAGTCCTTGAGTCAACAAGCTTCCTGACGCCAAGGCCAGCCGCCAAGCCCGAAGTTCTGCGGCTGTGTGGAGCTGTATTTGAACTTATGTAAGCATCACACCTGCCAATTGTCCTCGCTTAAGTCTCGTGGAATGCAGACGACGAAGATTTAGCGCTATAGCCTATTAGCCAGCAAATCGAGGACCCCGTCACACGAGCAATTGAGGGGTCCCCATGACATTCAAAGAGCAAACAACACCAATGATCAGGTTTCATTGATACCTCAGGCCTCAGGCCTGCTTCAAATATCACTTCAGTGATGTAAGCACTTTATTGTGGTATATTAAGCATGAATGTGATTGTTATGCATCCACCAAGTTCCCTGCTCGCTCACTCCCATCCTCCAATAGCATGACTCTATGTAATGCTGCCATCAATGGCAACACTCAGAGACAGACAAGCAGTAACATGGAAGAGCATATGATTAAGGATACAGTAAAGAGATAAGATGTGAGTACATATCTGATGAGCTATATATATTGATCAGAGTTGTTGATCCAAACACAGAACAAATAGTACATGGTGTCCAATCAGCACGCAGTAAGCAGGTGATGTTAGTTGTGTGGTAAGCCTGGCTTACACTCTAGTCTTGAATGATCCCAGTTGGTGGCCAATCATCAATGCAAATTTCATTTCTAGCTATTTTGTAGGTATGTAGAGTGTCAGCCACATGTTGACAGTGATTATTCAATTCATCTTTACTCCAATGTCACAGCTGCCACCTCTGTTGGGCTGATGTATGATTGGGGTGAGTGTTAAGGTTGTGCTCAAAGGATAACTGGATCCGAAGGGCTTTGGCCTCAGCTCGTGCACTGTGCCCCTTACCTGAGTATTGCCCCTTATTTCAGGAAGGCAAGACTAATGCATCCAGAAGGTTGAACGAGTAGTGTAATGGATCCAGATGACTTCCGGATGAGGGATAAGTATCATAGGGCTAATCCAGACTAGAAACTAACAGTAATGGACTGTTGGAGACAGAGGCGGATACGGATAGACTATAGGAATCAATCCTAAGTCTTGGAGGGTGACGAGAGTAGAGGTACTCAAGTCCAGAGGGCAGGAATGAGTAGAACTAAGATGATATTCGAACTGAGGTACTACAGAAAGTTACAGGAGGTTATATACCATAGGTATCTAACAGAATGATCAATCAGCAGAGTCTGAGGCTATGTATGAAGCATGTGGATAGTCTATTGGTAAGTAGAAATGGATCACAAATCATGAAATGGAAATGAAACATAGGTAGTGGATCAGGGAGCAGGATGGATATACAGATAACTGAAATACCAGAGTTAGGGGGTTACTGAAAGGAGACGAGTGCCGGTTGTGGATTTGGATGAGTTGTGGACCGGACCAGATGAGTGGACAGATTGAATGATGAGATGTTGGAGGGGGATAAGATGTGGATCTGAGATGAGATAAGGGTCAGATCTGAGATCTGGATATGCAGATATGACAGTGAGCAAGCTTAAGTATGAAAAGACCACTAATATCCTTATAGTATTCTCAGCGCTCACATTTGGATGAGGGGTACATCAACCCATTGCTGGGGTAGCCAACTTGCTTAGAATTTTGTTATAGGTTGAACTGATCTGGGTGAGCGGACTCCTACATCA